AAAAAATGCAGAAGAAAACATTCCAAAATGTTTGAATTATTGACAATAAACAATGGATAAGACTGTTAACATATGAATGCAGAATGAAAGTGCCAGAATTCCATACCGCGAGTGCCTGCTTTGCAGCTACCATTTTCGCAACCCGCTTGCTTGGTCCTTCGCCGCGACCGACTATTATGGAGTCTTAAGCAGGTGCGTTAACTGTACAGAAAAGCAGAGGAAATATTAGAGTGAAAGAAATCTACCTTCGTCAGCATTATCCCCGTTTTCGCCATTGCTGGCTCCCAATAAAGCTAGTTTATCTTTGACAGTACCAGCAATTTGAACCCGCACTGATTTCTTGACTACTACAATACCCGTAGCATGGAATGGCTTAGTAGCGTTCCTAAAATAAGAGTTCAGATTGCCAAGTTTACGGGAATCGAGCCCAATTTCCGGGAACGGGGTATTCGGGTATGACGCTTACCTCGTCTCTTCTATATGATAGATAGTTCGACCTTTCAAGGCTCGTTGTGAATATTCGTGTAGCACCGTTATTGATGATTTTCCTTGTGGATTCATGACGAAGCTACGCTTATGGAAACGCGGATCAGCGGATTCGATGTGGATCAAAGCCAACTAGAAATGCATGCATGACAACAATAGTGAAAGTTTGAACAACATCCTAAGCAAATTCTGCGCAATATGAAATGTACTTACACCCGCTGGTGCCTTCTCATTCTTATTGAGCACTTCCTTCATTTTCAGAGGCACACCTCAAATAGAAAGATTGAAGAATCCAAATATTAGAATTGCAGAATCTTTGAGCACCTGAATCCTTCAAAGCTTGATCAAGTTGCTTCTCACGATAATCTGCCTTTTTGTCCTTGAAATTGGTAAACTTTTTCACCTGAACAAAACGATAGAGAATCTTCGCTTTGAAAGCCACAAAGTCAGATGAAACGAAATATCAAGTACCTGGATCAGTTTAAATTTAAAGAGTTTTTCAGCATACTTTCGATACTCTTCACCGGTGAGTAAGTAATCTTCTTGGCGCTGAAATAT